CAGCAGGTACAAGCACCCGGGGCCGCGGCCGGCGCCGGCAGTCGTTTTGAAACCGAAAACCAGGAGCAGCGCCCAGCCCCTCCCGCGCGGACCGGCGCGGTCCCTGGGTGAAGCGGGAGGGCGAGAGCCGCTGGGCGCTGGTCCGGCGGCCCGGGGGCGAAGCGGCGCTCGGCGCTGCCGGCCCAGGGCTGGGCGAGGCCCGGCGTGAGGCGGCCTGCGGGGCCTGCCTCTCCCGCCGGCGGCGAGCCCTTCCCCTCGCAGCCCCTCCGCCTCCACACGGAATGGTACCTTTCCCGCTGAAACAGCGATTTTCCTTGTACCTTTTCCTGCTGTTTCTCACGCGAGCGAATTTGTCTTTTGAGTTCACAGGCCGCGTCAGTGTCTCAAGACAGAAGCTACTCGGTGCTTCCCGAAAATGGCAGGTAAGAACAAATACCGATAAAAACGCCCCGCGCTTCAGGCCTGGGCGTGCTGGTACGTGGCATATCTGTAATGTTTAGTTGGGATACTACGGTATTACTTTTTCAAAGGACTGAAATTACTTCAGTAAGCGATGCCTCTGAAAACTCCGGTCTCTCCCAGCACTGTGTCCGAGTGCCCCCAGCTCCACCGAAATGGAAACAAACCAGCAGCTTGCAGAACTAATCTTATCACATCTGTGCGCTCACCTCCAGCTACTGAACCACCTATTTACTGAGAGTTAGCAGGAACAGCAGAGAGGTAATGGCTTCTGGTATTCCAGAATAAGTTATGGAGCAGATGGTTAAATAGTTTATACACGTGTTAAATTTATGATAGCATCTGACCACAAATTTTAATAGTCTTTTGGCAAAGCTATTGTTTCATGGATGCTATGCACACTGGAGAAATAATCACCCTTTATAATTCAGGTTAAAAGTGAGGTATTTTTTTCTTCTAAGCCTTCAGCGCTGGTTCTATTCATTATCTCTGATACTTGAAACCTACCTGTCACCCTGAGGGTGCTCTGGGCTGTACTCCTTCTGTGTCCCCTGGAGAAACTGAACTCAGGAGATGCCTCAGGTTTTGTGTTGGCAGTCAAGAACCAAGAGCTGCATGTTTTTCAGATCCGGTAATTTTCAACAATCCCTGGAAATTTCATTCTCTGCGGTGTTTATATATAAATAACTACTACCTCAAAAAAAGTATTTCACATTTCCCTTGTGTTCAGTGATCAATTTTTTTTAGAGAATTATTAAAATTGAATGGCCTATGTACAGTAAAATTTTGAACAAGTAAGCTCTGATACACCTTGTTACATCAGTTTAAGAAGCTCCATCCCCAACATATCCATCTTGCTGCTCAGCTTACCTTAAAGCCACTTTGTCAGCAGTTTCAGATACACTAGGACAGCTCACTCTCACATCTAAGAAAATAATCATGTTGCTTTCTATTGAAGTTGCTGTGATGATGCTGAACTGGGATAGCGACATCTTAAACATCTACCCCAGTGTTTTCACTTGTGCAGCACTGAAATGGAAGATGAGGGGATCCCGCATTGCAGTAGGAAGATGCTCTGAGCTTTCAGAATTTGTTCCACAACAGTTTGAGGGAATCTAAGCTGGCACCACTTTGAACCCAGCGCACCCCTCACACTTGTGCTGTAGCTTGTCTGACCCAGCCTAGGGAGCTAAACCAGCAGACAGCTTTTGTTTTGGTTTAGTTTTTTTCCTGTTGTTGGGTGAGTTTTTGGGGGTGGGCAGTGGAATCGGATGAACACAAATGCTGACTCAAGAGGAGGGACTGGGTTGTGCTGATGTAGGGCAGTGTCACCTGCTATCGAAACGCACCCACTGTCCACTGAGTTCCACCTAGGAAAGCCCAGTGTAGCACAAAATTGCGGAATAGAGTGCATTTACTGATGATTTCCTCAGGAGTCACTCATTGCTGCTAAGCAGGAGTCAAATGCTGCCACTATCACTCTGTTTTCACTAGTTTTGTGCCGCTTGGAAAACACACTACAGAAAAATGAAGGACTGGCTCCACAACCTCTTTTGTATCTGGCTCCTATACTCAAAGGTATCTTCCGGTTTTCTTTCTGCCTCCAGGGAGAAAAGTCCTGATAGTCTATGCACATCAAGAGCCCAAGTCCTTGAATGGATCTTTGAAGAGGGTTGCTGTGGAAGAACTGAGCAAGCAGGGCTGCAGTGTAACAGTGTCTGATTTATATGCAATGCAGTTTGAGCCAAGAGCAACAAGAAATGACATTGTTGGTGAGACTACCCAAAATAGACTTTTTTCAACAATAACAACGAGACAAACTTTCACCTTGTCTATCCTGCTGTACTAACAATCCAGAACAACACTGTTAGGTGCACTCCAAAAAATTGTTGCTATGATTTTGTACAAATATCCCCCAACTAACAAGACCCAGCTTTTTATTTTCTATTAGCATTGACTAAGAAATGTCAGTGTAGCAACCCAACAAGTATCATCTTTATTTTAATAAATCTGATCACTAGAAATGGTCCCTCAATCAGAAAAATGAAATATCCATATAGTGCAGATTTGTAAAACAGTGTTTTGCCTTTAGACTAAAGTGAATGAGGGAAAATTACTATTTTTGTGGTATTTACAATCAACTGAAAACACTTTCTAAAAACCGTCTACTCTTAACAAACAAGATTACAAAGGCTTTCTGCAAGTTAGCTCCAGGCACTTAAGTGCTTGGGCTTTTGAGTTGTCTTGGCACCTCCTGACTACCTTGGTATTATATGATTACTAAAAATGACCAGATGATGCAGTTAAGACTTGAGAAAAACAGTGATGCTCTTGTTAGGCTTATGTGATATTTTCACTGTGCTCTTAGTAGCATGTAGCCCCAGTATTTTTCCAGGTTAGGAAACACAAAGCCATGACAATCTGTGACAGCTGAAACACTTTCTTTAAAACAAGAATCAAAAGGCAATAGCACAGGTCTAGTGCAAGCACTGGCAAAAAATGAGAAAAAAAAACTTGCTAATGACCAGACATAAGCATTTCTAAAAGTCCACTCCTGAATATGAACCTTGGCTCGTAGTGACATTACTGGAAGGGAAAAATGCATTAGCATGTGTCCACAATCAATTTCTGAAGTCCATTTCTCGTGGGTGAGAAATGCCTTCGGATAGCGTTCTGTGACTTGCTAGAGTTTAGTTCATGAGGCTCCTGCCACTCTCTTCTGCTAGAGATTGATGATCTACTAGTTGAATCAGCAGAATTGAATGTATCTATCTGATGTGGACATACTTGAATCAGCTCACCTAACTGTAGTGGAGTCAGCAGAGCCAGCCAATACTGGTTCCCCAGCCCCAGCTGAATTTTCTGGTTACAGAGGCTGAAAAGAAGCTACATAGTGCTTGTGACTGTGTGATGGTTTCAGTAATCCCTAATGCAGAGGCAGAGCAACTAGCAAAATTCTCCTAAATCATCCACCTGCATCACCAGAGTCTAGAGCCAAGCTTAGGTCCTCTTACTGCACTTTATATGTTGCCACAGAAAGGCAAAAGTTTTAGTAGTCTGAGACGCTATATTCCTCTTCAGTTTAAAATCAAATCGCCATCAGCTGTGATGCTGCTGAATATCCACAGACACACAAAAAAAAAGCAAGTGGGGAAATATGGAAAGCAGTAGCTCAATTTAGAACTGTAGATTGCAGCATATATTTAATTCTTATTTGGCTACAATGCTAGAAACAAGGCAAGGAATGACTGTTCACTTCTACCCACAGGTTGCTTGCACAACCCAGAAGAGTTCAATTATGGTGTGGAGACATGGGAAGCTTACAAGAGAGGAGATTTGTCCAATGATCTGATTGAAGAGCAAAAGAAGGTGCAGGAAGCAGACTTAATGATTTTTCAGGTCATTATTTTAAATTGTATTAAAAAAAAGACTTCAGCTGTAATATATAGGGTTGAACAAAAGAAAAGCAATAGTGAAAAGATTATAGATTTCATTAGGAACGTTGAATCTAGCCAGAGTTAAAAGAGGTAGTAGCTCTGCCATCAACATAAAACAATCTGTATCCAGCATAGCAATTTCAAGGTGTCTGGTTTTTCTGATATCATGTGGATTTTAGAAAATATAAAAAATACCAGGTCATGTGTGAGCATTATTCATGCTAGCACAGTATGAGTTTTTCACACAACAGTGCAACACTGGCATTTTTGGAGAGTAGGAAGGCATCTGAAATTAGAACCTTAAAATACTTGAGTAGAACTCACAGCAGTGCTTCACTTAAAAATTAACATTCAAAAGTAGTCTGATTGCATAGGTTTTGTGAAAACTGGTCCTCACACTACCTGCACTCCAAAATGATTGCATTGAGCAACTCAGACCAGAAAGTATTGAGTGCAAAATAATACTATAATTCTCAATATGAAAATCGTGCCATGTTATCAGGCAGCCTGATACTACCCCCTTGTCTTGGAGCTCACCCAAAACAAACACAGATCTACACACAGAGGTGCGTGTAAGGGCTTATGGCAGCCCCACTGAGTTACAGGTTTGGGATATGGTAACAAACACCAGATCAACAGCTTTAGGAAAAAACACTCTATCTCTAAGTAATGGTAGAGTAACTAAATACAGATCAGTACTACAATTATCTGGGTCATTACAGCAGCAAATCCAGTAATTCAGTAGCACAATTATCCAGGTTGAAACAACAGCAAATCCAGTAATTCACCAACACGTGGCCAAACTTCATATGTGGATGCACAAAAACATACATGACCATAGTTATCAGGCAGGCTAGCAGAAAGCAGGGCAAAGCTTATTTTCTGGGCAAGCAGCTGGGAGCAGCCAGTGGTCTCAGGGAATTGGGACTTCCCCAACCAGACTGTCCTTATTTATTGCTGAGTTGCAGAAGCACTATCTGGACTTGCTAACGGATCATTACACCCCATCTCCACTCCCCACTGTGCCAGCTCTGTCCTTGGTGTCCACAACTCCCAGAAGTACTGTATAAAGCAATACTAGCCTCACATTTCTCTGTGTGCCTGTGTGACTGTTGGCTTTAGGCATAGCCTATATATATTCCACTGCCCAATTCTAGATGAAATTTAGAATATGACCATATCTCAATTAAGCATTTCACAGTAAGTCTTCATCATTTTTACGCTATTGCTTCTGAGATAAGTATAGTAAAATATCCCCTGAAGGAAGTGGTTTCTTTCTACTTTCTGTCTGTAGAATGCTATGAAATTGAGTATGTTCTGGTGCAGAAAAAAAAAAAAGAAAGAAAGAAGAAAAAAAAGCTTCTCAAAGACACCATAAAGTAATTTAAAATTAACTGCAGACTAAACTCACCACTTCCAAAGATAATGGTGATTGCCCAGTTTCCACATTGTTTCCGTCTTGAATTAAGCCACATATGGCTAAGTTTTTACAGAATTTCTTCTTCTGTACTGCAGCGTGTACCAAGGTTTAGGGATAGTGATGCATCCTAGAATAGGAGTCCTTAAAGCATTCAAGATAATGCAAATAAGACGTGATAGCTTTAGGCTGTAGTCCCATGAGCTAACTGAAGAATCTAGAAGTAGAGGATCCTACTGTTAAAGAAGTTCTCTTCTCTATAAAGTGATTCAGGGTCATCATGACACCAGGGCATGAAAGTAAGCCTTTCTTAAGATCCCATGGCATTTGTCAGCAGTCTGTCAGATCAGAAGTGATCATCAGATGTCAGTCCTGGTAATAAGGTTCTCTGTATGCATTTTGGCCACATTCTCCATTAGAGCATATGTTCCTTTGGCATTGCAGCAATAGGAGACACAATTCTGTACAGTCTTAAGTTTGAATTAAATGGTGCCTTCCTGCTTCATCATATTCCAGTTTAATTTGTGTGGAAGCCCTCACATTCACTATGGTGTTAGTGTGCTGTAGGTGCTCAAGTAAGTACCTGAGACTACTACATACAGAAAGCACTTCATTTATTTTTGCCAGGCATAGTTACTGCCTCTCCTGACAGAGAGCTGAAGGAAGGCATGTACAAGATCTGAACAGATTAAGAGAATAGGATTTAGCCTGTTGACCAGGCCTAAGGATGGCCCGGACTCTCTGTGCTAACAAGGTAATTTACTTTTTGCCTAGTTTCCCTTGTATTGGTTCAGCATGCCAGCAATCATGAAGGGCTGGATGGACAGAGTCTTGGTCCAAGGATTTGCTCACGAATTTCCAAACTGTTATGATTCCGGTTTGCTCAAGGTATGTTTCTGATATTGTTTTAAGATCATGATTTGCACTTGTCTGGCTTGTTAAAAGTGTCTGAAAGGTAGTACAATAAGGCGAATGCAGTGCTTGCTAAAGATTTAAGCAACCTCCTAGAGATTTTTAGCTGGCCTACAAAATGGGCTTTGTAATTTGGTAGGTGTATCAGAGTGCACTGGGGTGGCATACAGCTTGCAAACAGTTTAAATCAATCAATTTCCTAAAACTATAGTATGTCATTCTTCCCACCACTATAGGACTGCACAAATCTGTAATGAGTGATATACTAGAATAGGTGACAAGATCCTGTTCTGGGATTAGATGTCAAAGTTTGGAATTAAACTATAAAACTTAATCGGAAACCTGAAATAGCCAGTGCACGAGCCTCTGTCCCAGCTATCTTCTTTCAACCTTTTCTTCTTTGTAGCTTATAAATTAAGCAAGATCAGTATCTCTAGATGACAGTCCATAAAATTTTAATTCTCCACGGCACTGAGAATATCCCTGGAAAATGTCGGCCCACTGTCTGATGGATCTTACTTGGTGACAACTGTAGCATCCAGAAACAATATTAGTTTCATGTTTATGTTCACTGCATATTAATCTCTGTAATTTCTGATCTTCTTAACAATTCCAAACATTTCAGTTTGCTTAAATTTCAGAAATGGCTGCCTCACTCAGATGAATAGGAGTAATCCCCAACGATCATAGCTGCATGCTGAGTGCAGGCTCAAGGCAGTTTGGATACTGTGCTGGAAAAACGTTATTTCAATTACGGAAGCTAAAACTGAGTGGGTAGAAGCTGAGCACAAGCCTATGGCTAATACCGGTTACAGAAGCAGAAGAAACACAGGGGTTTAGAACACCTGAGGAACACCCTGTCACCTTGGCAAGTGACAAGCAAGCCCAAGTTTGAAGGAGGACTGTGGCATTCAATTTCTGCCTCCAGGAAGGACAGGGATAAAGGGATTCTCAGTAACAGAGTGGTTTCTAGCCACAGTTTTCCAAACATTGCATAGGGGAGAACAAGGGTCAGTCCTGCTGCATGCAAGAGTGTCAGACATGTAATTCCTTTTCTTTTTAACCTGTATCTGCCCAAAGCCCTGACACATAGTCCAATTGTCTACGCTGTATGTTGTTAATCTTTGCCTCAGAGCTGCTGCTACACATAAAGTCTGGGAAAGAAGAGGACACCACCTCCTCTAGAAATTTATGCTGTTCAGGTTCCCCTGAATATCTCTTGAACTATTTAGCCATTCTTCTTTAAACATGCCTAACTCAAGCACTGCTTTCTTAATTCTAGAACAAATTAGCCCTGTTTTCTTTCACCACTGGAGGAAGCAAAGAGATGTATGCAAAAGGAGGTATCAGTGGTGATATTCGCTACCTCCTGTGGCCCATCCAGGTATAATATATGAATATTTGGTTGTTCTTTGCCTTAATTTTTATTATTCCAATTATTTATAACAGTTGTATTATTGTTTCTTTTATATGAAATATAATGTAATAAGAAAGAATTAAGTTGTCAGTTCCAAGCATCTGCAGGTTATAAATTGGGCCCTAAAATCCTGAGACTACTTTAAAAGTGCACAGAGTTTTAAAGTTGTTTTGTTCCCCTTCCTCCAGACTGGAATCTGGAAAAAGCTCATACTGTCAGTCTTTTAAGTTTCTCTGGTATTATAGGACTTCCTTTATCCCTGGTGTGCAGGATTTCTTTTCCCCATAGCTACCTGATTCATGTAGGATGCGGGGCAGGAGGGGAGTCACGCATTATCCTGGTATTAATGATCAGCATACGAAAGTTAGCATGCCTTTTCTTATTGCTACCCTTTTATCAGAAGTAGCAAGCATGCTTTGAGAAATTTAGGTGGTAAGGCAAAGCTACTACTTGATATAATACAATGGATGTGCTTAAGTTCTTTGGTCTCCTACCCATTGCGATTACTAGCTGTCTGCCCTTGTGAGGCTATCTAGTGGCAGAGCTTGCAAGTCAACATGACAAAGAATGAAACACAACTGTAAATTCAGAAATACACAGAGGGAAAATGGCAAGTTGAGCTGATCTGAAAGGCACTAGCCTTCATTCAGGATTGTTTGGCTAAGCCAGAGGCAAAAGGTTAAAAAAAATACTTAGAAGTAGATGAGAAATACACTGCAGTTCAGGAACAATCTGTGGAGATTCAAACAGTACAATGAACTTTAGGCTGTCTCTGATCCTTGCAAATTTAATAGCATACAGCAGGCGAAGAGAACAGTTCTGTGGGTTTAATAGAACTTAAATAGCACAAAGCAGAATAAATGAAGTTGACCTTATTTTTCAGTGTATTATATGTCATTCTACCTAATGTCTAGCCTTCACTAGTGACTGCCAGGACAGGTAATGAACTTTTGCAGTTTATTTCCCTTCTCCTGGTAAATGCACAGGTTTAGAAAACCTGCCTTATATTGGGCCAGAGAAACAGTTTCAGATTTGAATCTTCTACATTCTTGAACTGAAAGTGAAAGACTAACTATTTCCTGAGGCATTTTTTTCTTTGCTTTGAGTCCAGCATGGAATCATGCACTTTTGTGGCGTCAAAGTCCTTGCACCTCACATCTGCTTTGCTCCAGAGTATGTGTCTGAGGAGAAGAGGAAGGAGATGCTGATTGCCTGGGCCCAGCGTCTGAAGGCTCTTTGGAAGGAAGAACCCATAAACTGCTCTCCTGAGTGGTATTTCAAGTAATGTTCAGGTACAAGACTACAGAGAGAAGACTTTTTTTTCCCTCCATTCTTTTTGGTGCTTTCAGTATCTGAATGCTAATCTCCTAATTTGAATGTATTGTAAGTATCTTGAGTACTACACCTAGCAGCTTAACTGACAATATAGCATTTATCTTCATTGATTCTTGAGGGATTCTCTTCAGTGATCGGTGCAAAAACCTTTATGAAGAATTATCCTTGCTCATATAAACAGTGACATCCTGCCTACAAGTGGTTAATAACACAAGCGGTATTTAGTTGCAGATTATACCGTTGCTGCTTATGAAACAGTAAAGTACATCGTCAAGTTTATTTTAACAGTTTTTGTACCAGCTGCCACTTTTTTTTTTTTGCCAGGGAATATGCTGACCATACTTAACCTTGTTATGGCCAATCCTGTTCTTTTAAATGAGAGCTTTACACTTGTGCCTTTGAGCTATGAAGCCAGATCATGAATAATGCAAAAGGCTGTACAGTTGCACAGTGACTTAGACAACTGGAAAGCCTTGTGGACAGCCTTAGGCTTTTCCACATATTTACAAAGCAATATTAAAGCTATGACAGACACCAGAAGAGGAGAAAAACCAAATACAAATATCATATAGCAGTATGTGCATGTATTGCCTTTCTTTATAAAATGTATCTCCCATTTGTAAAGTATGTAGTTTCCTAAAATCAAAGGCAGTTCTGTATTTTTGTTACCCTAAGTAATGACAAAAAGGAATCCAATCTGTTCCCTGCCCTTTCACACCACTCCGTATTGCTGTTTGGGTCTGGAGGGCTGGGTGCATCCCCTCCGGCATCAGTGTAGGTGGGCTTCCTTGGGGAACCTCCAGCACTGGCAGTTGGTGAGGCAGAACACCTACCCTAAAAGCTGCAGGAGCACTGTCTGTCTATGAGCCAGGATCTAGTAGGACAAAATAACTGTCTGGCTCTTAACATCCGTGATTTTTACCTTGAACTTTAGTGGGATTATTTTTGTGTTTGAAAGCTGTTAACCCATTTTGTGCATATGGCAAAGAGTGGGTTTCTCTCTTAGCTACACAATTTCTTGCTTTAATCAGCTTACCTAACAGCTGGCTTTGCACTTTGATATTAAAATAACGTGGCCCGAATAAGAAACTGTCTTCTAAGTCACTGACAAATGACACTTAGGCCTCTGCACAGAGAGCATGCATCTGCCATACATTCTTTGTAGCAGCCTTGTCATGCCCCACCCTTATGTTTCTTTAAGGGCTATTTGGATAATAAACATGCTGAGCCCAGATTTTGGAGTGGCAGCGTAAGCTTATACACCAGGCTGGGAATTGCTACCACAGGGAAAGAGTCACATGTTCCTGTTTGTCACTGTATGAAGTGAAGGTCAATTTCTAGCAGAGACAGACCCCTGAAAGCAGTGCTGCCCTAAGTTTTTGCAGATGTCTGCCTCAGTGCATATGAGTCAAAGTCTTTAGGTTACACAAGCAAGAAATTTGCTTTCGCTCAGTAACTCTGGTATAGGAAAAAGAAAGTGAAAGGGAATAAAATGGAAAATATTATACATAGAAGTTGTAGGAAAAGCAGATTCTTGCCTAAAAGACCTAAGGAAAACAACTTTAAGTTACCTGAAGAGAGACTGAAGGACAAATGCAAATATTAAAATTGGATGGGAGAGGAATTATCCTTATGTTCACTGCGTTCAGTTACCAGACTATTCAAGAAAGAAGGAAATGGATAGCAGAAAGCAGAAGTTGCAACTGTCAAACCAAATGTTACTGTGCTGGATCAATTGCAGAGCTTAGTGGGTTTAACTGTTAGATGAAGAATCTCAGACTGACCTATGTGATGAAGATACACTTCTTCACACTATTTGGCAGATGCATGCCAGCTCCCCCACACATGGTAGCATTAAGTGCCTATATTAGACTGGATATTTGTAATGTAAGTATACAAGAGTGACTGTGCTGGGTCAGAACAAGGATCGTCCAACCCCAAGTTTTTTCTCCACAGTGGTTATAGGCCAGGAAGAGCAAGCACTTCCCCTGAATACTGTCCTGGGCTTCAACTATATTTAGTGTGGGGGATTTCCTGAGCTATACATGTTTTCTCTATATTTACCAAGCCAAGTAGATGTCTGCTCTGAATTTTGTTCAGTCTTCTCTTAAATTCATGCCAACTTGGAGCAGCCAATACTTTTTGGCAAAGTTCAGCAGGTCAGCTTTTTCCTTGCATGAAGCATTGGAGTGGGGAGTGATCCCAGGGAGAGTGAAGCACCTGGTTCCCAGTAGCTTCGTTTGATTCCTCCCAGTCAACAGTAAATGATCAGTCCCATCCACCCTTTTACATGGTGCTTACAGTTTTGTAGATGTGTGTCACCTCCTCACCTAAATAATCTTCTCAGGCCATGGAGTCCTGTCCTGCTCAGTTGTTCTTTCAAAGGAAGGCATTGGCCTTTGGTCACTCTTGTTGCTCTTCTCTGAACTCCTCCAGTCTCACTATCCCATTACTGAGAAGAGCAGACCAGAAAGTGCATGTGGAGTCAACTCCATGACTTTTGGATTTATATGACTTTCTCTGCTCCTTTCCTAATAATTTCTGACATATGATTTGCTTTAGCTAATGTTTTTTCTGTTGTAACCCTAGATGTTGGCCATCAGTGGTAATGGTCAGCTCAGGGGCCATTATTTTATACATCAATTGTAGGATAATTCTTTTTCCACATGCGCACCCCTTTACATAACTTGAATTTCACTTCCTGTCTCATTGCCCAGTCACTCAACCATTTTTCCAGAGCTCTTCACAATCTGCTTTCCTTGTCCCCCCTCTTCTGAGTAATCTGTATCATCAGCAAACTTTCTCAACCTCACTGCTCGTAGCCCTTTCCAGATCATTTTCAACAGCTCAGATCCCTGCACTTGTAACCTCCCTCTGTTCTGAAAGCTAATCATTTACTGTTGCCCAATTTGTCCTATCTTTTAAACACATCTCCATGCCATGACCTTCTTTCTTATCCCGTACCTGCTTAGTTTTCCTTAAAAAAAAAAAAAACTGATACGAAACTTTGTTAAAAGCCTCTTGGAAACACAAGTAAACTATATCAGCCGGATCACCATTCTGCATATGCTTTAACTCCTCCTAAAGTAATTCTTCAGGTATATCATTCCAATTCGAAAGCCATTGTACGAGGGGGTATACAATAAGGGGGAAACTGAGAACCACTATTCAACTGTGACTTTCCGCAGCCAATCTCTGTCCTCATGTGTGTAGTCTGTTCTCATACAGAAAAGTTCCATGTGCCTCGTAATTCTTGTCACTTTCCTTTAGTTCATGTCTGGCTCTCCTGTGTCTGTTCAGAGAAGAGGTAATCAGAGCTGTGAGCTGTATCTCAGCTGTGGACATATAACAGATGAAACCACATTTGCTGAAGGGTGCTGCTCTTGCAGTGCTTTGGAAGCCAGTCAACTGTGCAGTGATAGGGGGTGCTGAGCCAAGAGTTCATGTCCTTATCCTGACATGCTTTCAGTGCCTGCTATACAGCACACTATACAGGGGCACACCTATGTTCTGGCACATGCCTTTCAAAAACTCAAGGGAGAATTTTACTGTGTAGAAAACCAATAGAGTGGTCTGTGGTTAACGAGGAGAGAGAAAGGAAGTGGCAGTATTAGTTTCCTAGTAGTACTGGAAATGTTACAGACAGTTTGATCTAAAGAATGCTTACCCTGCTAAATCACATTATGCTAAAAGACAAATGTAGTCCTGTCAAAACAGCACTGATTTCATCAGAATAAAGCTAGAATTAGGTGAGTAACCTGTAGCTGCATTTCAGGCTGGGGAGAAGGGTATAACGGCAACATACTTTCCTCTTCCATTTAGTCTGGGATTTGAGTTTTTGTTGCTGGTGGTACTCTTCTCCCACACACTTTCAGGCAACTTTCTGGTCTTCTTCTCTACTTGTTCCAAAAATCATGACTGAATTTCTTTTATTTGATGTTCTGATATGGCAGGTGAAACGTGCTTGCAACTTCAGAAAAACACAAGGAAACAAATAGATCCCCATCTGAACTATGTTATCAAGAAGCCTCATAGCTTAGAGAAACTAAGACTGATTTCTTGTGGTAAGGTGCTTTCAATCCAGGTTTCAAGAAAAATTAATGTTTAAAGGCAAGTGTGGATAGTTCTTTCTTTGGTTTAATATTTGATTCATGGAACAACATTAATGTCACTGTGAGATTAGCTGCCTGCTTGCAGGGGAATGTATTTTGCAATAGACAAGTTATCAAAAGGTTGTGCTGAAGAGAGGAACAGCCAATAATAAATACCATGTATAATTGACGTACAACCTTTTTTTTTTTTTTTTTTTTCCCAAAAAAAATCCTACTATGTTTGTAGATATCCTAAAGCCTAAAGAGCCTACAGTCCACAGGAGAGATGCAAAAAATTTAAGCTTAGGGTGCTCCTGAGTTTTAGTGCTGGATAACTGTCATTCTAAGGGTATTAAAATACCTACTGTATCCATACAAAAATGAAGCTCCAAGATCCATGATGTTTCTTTTTAAATTAGGTGATTCACTACAAAGAGTAGCCAAGAGAGCTATTCCAGCCTTAGTTCCAAAACTCCTATTAAAAAGTATAATAGAATCTTTGACTACAAATATTTGGGGAAGCAGAGGGCTTAGTCCAGAGCAGTAGTCTCACATTTCAGCAGCCTCATTTTAGGTCCTTCAACATAGTGGCAGCAGTTGATCATTTCACAAACAAGTCAGGGAAATGTCTATTCCTGCAATACTTTTGTTGATTCTATCTTACTCTGCTGGTGTTCATATATTTATGGAAACATTCTCCACAGAACAAAATACCAAGGAAACACCTATTGAAGAATTTGTGTCACAGTGCTTGGTGCAGACTGATGTAAAAAAAAAAAAAAAATTAAAAAAAAAATTATAAATACTGGAGAAGTTCTTATTTTTTTGAACAGTAAAATTTAGTGAAATAATGTTTTATGACCAGTTATTTCCAGCCATCCAAAGACATTTTTAAACTCGTCCAGATTCAGCAGTATTGGTTTAATGCAGTCTGAATGCACAGGAATTCTGATCTCTTTAGAAAACTCAGTAAGGAGACAGAAGACCAGTTTCTTCCCTAGGTTTGTGCAACTGAAATACCCCATAGCTGGTTCTGAATTACCAATTGCCCTTGATGAAATGAGAAAGCATTTTGTTAACATCCAACAGAGAGAATAAACCAAGGCCTAACCAGCTTGTCAAAGCAACAGACTGTCACAGAGGACTGCCACGCCTACAAATGCTATGTACTCCACTGAGATGTGCAGAGCAAAGGTGGTGTCTTTACTGGAACTTCATATGAAGCCAAGGGGAAACAAAGTCCTCTCAATATACTCTACATGTACACCCTTGTATTTCTGTCATCTGTTGCTAGGCCACACCTCAGCATCTAGGAGAGACCTCAGGTGGTCCTCTTCTGAACTTAACTGCAGTGAAAAATTGTGGCAGCAATCAGTCACAAACAGTGGTTCCCAAGTCTCTTGGGCATCCTGTTCTGTGTTTGGACTCCCTGGGGGACATGGCCCTTCTCCCCATGCATCAACACTGTTGGTTGCACAGTGCTACAGTTTCTCTCAGCCCTCTGGGTGCTCAGAGAAGTACAACAGAAGTTTTGTTGCATTGATGAGCCAAAGCTAGCTAATATCATGGCTTCTTTCTGTAAAATCAGCTGTAGAACATAATACCTTGACAGCTGTTGGACAGCAGTGGGATCAGTCAGACCAGATAATGCTTTAGCTTTAGATTAAAAGGTAGATTACAAAAAGATTACAGACAAATTTCTCCTTAGGGTTTTGCCCACCGATGATCCCCCTCCCCAGAGTTCTGGGCAGGGTGCTGAGCCCAGAATTAATGTTTCAGCATTGACCCATCTCCAGAGGTGAGAACCTCCTGTGCAAGGGAACACTTATCCCTGCTGGGCTCAGCGGAGCCTTTAGCTGGGGACAGCCACAGCACCATTACGCTCAGGTCCCTATGGAGCTCGCAATTCATGTGAGACATGGAGAAGGAAAACCCTCTAAAGAGATACCTGGCAGCAAACTGCAGGTGGAGAGGAAGAAGTGGAAAAATTCAAACCTTTGTAGGCAAAGCTCACTATACTATAGCCTTCAAAGTTAATACCAGGAAAATAACCCTGTGTGAAGTCACTCTCCTGTTATGGCACAAGCCTACTGTAATTTGATTTTAGTTTTTAAGATTAATGAGACAGGTAACCATTCCAGGTAGCCATGGTCTAGCACTGTGGAGTTTTGACACTTTTTATTTATCAGCCCATACAATTTTTCCAGTGGTGCAATGAAATCTGCAGGTTTCACATACAGCAGTTTTCACCCTGCTGACAATAAAACCAGCTACATGTTAAAAAAAAAAAAAAAGCATTTAGAATTCTATATATTTACTTTTTTTTATGTCAGTTTTAATAAGAAGAATGAGATTTTTAGTACAGAGTAAGTGAAGGTTTGGTCAAGATTAGCAAAATCTTCAGTTAAAGTAAAAAGAACTAATGGGCTTATTTTATTTTCATTAATACTAAAATTGAAAACTTCTGCTCACATAAATGCATTATGGTGAAAAGCATTAAAACTGTACTGGCCTTATCGTCCAGTTCAGGATAACCTTCCTTTCTTCTCAGTCAGAATTAAGATATTTCTCCATAAATTCAGATTGCATTTTTTGATCAATTTATTTTTCCCTATTCATTTTGAGAAGGACTGTCATAACTGGCAACACTGACCTCTAAGCACCAACAAAAAAATGCTAATTTCGGTCTTTTGCCTAGCGCTTGTTGGCAAACCACCACTGAATGAGACTGAAACCTTTTTAACCACACAATTCTTATAAATTTAGCCATCTTACTTCCTGCCTTCAGCCCATGTCTTCAGCCACACACACAATGCAAAGCTCAAAAGCAGAAAAAAACAAGCCGAAACAAAAAACCTCGGAAATAAAACATTATCAAAAGATTTCTGTAATGTTTGGGATTGCCACAGAAGACCAAAACTGCATGATCAGCCCACCAGAGATACCATGTCTGGAATTCCTTCTGCCTTATTTAGTTGACAAATGTCCCAGATTCTCTGGACTGCAGGTTTAATAACATCCTCCTTACAATACCTCACAATGTGGATGGACATGAAACGTCTGTATTCAAACTGTGATGAGCTTAGTTTGGCAATTCAGCGTAGCTGTCCTGTGTCTCCTCATTATAGCAGGTGTGATCAGCCCTTGCATCTGCAGCTGTCAGAGCATTAAACTCCTGTTCTGGCTCAGTACTAGCTGATCCAGAATCAGTGGAAAACAGAGATACGCTGGGCACATGCCAATACCGTTGCCAAGATTTTTTTTAAGAGTGAAAATGATTGCACTGAGCATTTTTTGGAGAGTTCTTGGAAAGAAGCCTCTTGTTCAGTTTGTCCAACAAGGTGCAGAAAACTGCCTCAAGTCTTGGAGAGAAAACTTGAAAGCTATCACCAAGGCTGTTCTACCTCTCCAAAACTGCAGCCACCTGCATTCTACTGTTTCCCATCTGTCTTTCCAAAGAGACACCTTTCAGAAAGCTGGAAGGTGGGAGCCACCTGCTCCTCGCAGATGAACATGCTGGCCAGCAGAAGGCACAAATGAGACTGTATCTTCTAGAAGGGCAGATAAGGGTACATGGGTGGTTTAGGAATTCAGATACTATGTTGCTGACCATGAAGGACAAATTCTGTACTTGGAGAGGGCCACAGGCCCAGAAAGTGCCAGCGTTACACACCAGCGCACCCATGTAAATCCCCAAGGCCACATAATACTGAATGGGGTTCTTTTGTTTGCTAATGTTTTGTTTGTATGTGGCAGGAATAGGACTGGTACAAACATAGCCTCAGAAGTCCTCCACAGCTGAGGACTCTATCCATGAAATCTACCATGGGGCCTAGCACAGAATTAAATCAAACCCTCTGTGGCCATTGTGCTTCTTCCAGATCTAGGGCAGTCGGGGGCCTCAGCTTCCACCAGGAAAGAGGACCAGGTTCCTAGACCACTTTTGTTCTCTCATCACTACCAGGCTTGCCCTCCAGCTTTAGAAAGGCTCCCTCCCTTAAACACGAGCTGTGGGCTGCTCTTGTCCTCCCACATGGATCTGCTGCTGCTGTTCTGGTAGTGCCTAGTAGTACTGAGCCGCAAACTCCACAGCATCCACAAAGCACCGTGGGGAACGCAACAGTTCCCCAGAATGGGAAGGCCACGGCAAAGAGGGTAGACACTCATCATCACCATTGTTTCACTGGAGGAAAGGCGAAGGGGTCAGTCTTATGTCAAGAAGCTGTGTTAGACACTATTTCTATATGAGAACAGTTTTCCTAATGAAAATAATAGAATATGTTAGTTATGGCATCTTCTTTGCTGTTAGGACAATAACAAACTACATAAAATCTGTCAGAGATGCCCTAGACACACCTGACCTCTGCAAGAGGATGGACTAGATGGTTCATGGCGGTCCTTTTAGGTTACGTATTTTTGCAGCGATCCCCAAGACTGTTGACAAAGAGGAGAAACTCCTGCCTCCACCCTTCCTGAACGAAAAGCTGCCTCTTCGGCACCAAAACAACAACAAAGAAATGCATTTCGACCACGCATCAAACTCCCAGCTGCTGTCAGTCTCGATAACGTGGCCAGGTTTGCACCATTCATAGATGGTCAGCACCAGGCTCACACCGGCGGGTGGGCGCTGGGAGCCGACCCCTTCCAGGCGCCGGCGGCGAGAGGCAGCGATGCTGGGAGGCGCCGGGTGCCTGGGCAGGCAGGGCTCGCACCCTTCTTCCCGGCAGCGGACGTGCCTTTCGGCGCACAGACCCGGCCGCTTTGCAGCCCCGCGGGCAGCAGCAGCTCCGCGGCGCCCTCGGGCGAGCCCGAGCCGCCTCCTCTGCTTCCGAGCAGGCGCGGCGGCGGGGTGTGCCGAGCCCTCCTCCCGCCGCCGCGGGGCCGGTGAGGGCGCACCCGGACGCCGCCGGGCCCTCCCGAGGGAGGCGGCAGGAGGGCGGAGAGCGGCCCGCAGCCACGGTAAGGCACCGCGGACCGGGAGTAGGGGGGCCGGCAGCGGGGGGGGGGACCCGCGCCG